TCTCTCATAATAATTTTTAGTAGCATCATGAATAAATTCAACAATATAATTGTCACATAAAACGTTCTTTTCATGACCCAACAAGCATATAATTTTTATTTATTTCCACATAAGCAAATTTCTTCTTATTCATAATGGGAGTATCATAAAAAACTTGAACACTATAAATGGATTCCACATTAAAAGAGTAATGTTCAGTAGGATGACCATAACTATGACAAGTTTCACAATAATAATTATCACTACTATTTTTAGCATAAGTTTCATCACAATAACCATCATCAATAGCAACTTTGTTCTCATCATAATCAATTAAATCCTCTTCCGAAATAGTGGAATCATCATTAAATAAAGTTATGCCCTCTCCAAATCCACTTTTATCATTAAAATAAGATTCAACACCCTGCAAAATAGTGGGATAATTAATATCTAGAGTTGACACTCCTTCAAACCCACTTTCATCTTTATTGCAATCATCATAAATAGGAGGCATGTAATCATCATAATAAATTTGTTCATCAAAAGTAGGGAGGCCTAAAAAGATCATCTTTATTACACATAGCACCCCCAAGCTTAGATAACCATTATTTATAGCAAATACATTCTCAAACATGTCACTCTCATCAAACACATCATCCCCAAGCTTATGGTTTTGCATATCATTAGCATCTCCTTCTAAATAATCACTCTCATCATTAATAGCATGAATAGCACCAATAGTATAACAATAATTATCATCATAATTTTTCAAGTTGGTTCCAATTTTTTTCAAGATTATAATAAGTATCAAAATTATCTCCACAATCATAACCATCATAGCAAGTAGCAGGCATAACAAAATCATCCTCGATAGTTTCTACGAACATTCTGTCATAAGAATAAAAACAATATCGTCATCAAGTGCATCATTTTCCACAACTCATGATCTAATCACATAGGACATGCTCTTAAGAGCAACATTATTTGGGGGATATACATTTTTACCCTTGCTTCTCCTTCTTCTATTTCTCTTATTCTTCACCACATTAAGTGTTGTTTCAATTAATTTCTCCCAACTTCTTGTGGTGGGTAGGGCGCGCCGGCCTGCCTTATGGGGGCCCCGGGCACCAACTTGCATTGATTATTTCTCCCAAAAAAGACATATATTCCATAAAAAAATATCCGCAAATTTTCATCGTGTTTGGACCTTCCTAGATATGGATTTTCTGCAAAACAGGAACTGGCACTGTGCACTTGATTAATAAGTTAGTCCATAAAAATAATATAACAGTGCACCAAAACCAAATATAATTGATGTAAATATAGCATGAATACTTCATAAATTATAGATACATTGGAGGCTTATCACCCCCCACCCGAGATCTACCGGATTTAGCTCCGTTGGCCACCACATGTTGCCTTGCTAATTTTTCGCCCACACTAGATCCCGCACCAGATCTGCCACGCCCCCTGCCCACCTACCTCATATGACGTTAGCCTCACATGTTCCCCTTGGTCTCCACGTCGATTGCAACTAGTGTGTGTCATCCACCCACCCAAATTCCCATCTCCACCCCGCACAATACTCCTGGGCACGTCACTCCGCTGCGGACCGCATCCACAACCAAGTATGCAGTTCCCACCCTTGCAACTTTGCTAGCAAACTCACATAGGCCCCCTTAGATCATGTGCCTGCGATCCAAGTTTCTCCTGTCTGAGATCCCATGTAATCTGCCTCTCCTTTTGCATCGAACTCTGCCACTTTGTCACATCTCCCTTTTAATGTGTTTTCGATAGTCCACACACAATACACACTAGATGCACACCTAGGTATAAGTGCAGTTAGGGGTCTTGGAAACTGTCATGACGCTTTGCGGATGAATGTCACTAGGGTGACTATAAAAGGATTTTGTGGTAGTCTATGACTCCCTCCAACTCAATGCATGCTCGAGTGCCTGTTTCTTTTTATAGATTCTTCATGATATATTTCTCATATTCCTTCCTCGTAATTGGCATCAAGCAATGATAGATGAGTTTAATGCTTTAATAACAGATGGAACTTGGTCTTTGGTTCCTAAACCTGTATATTTCAATGTGGTTAGGGGCAAGTGGATATTTCGCCATAAAATTCAACAGTGATGGTACATTGGCTCGCTACAAGGCAAGTTGAGTTTTTCGGGGGTTCACCCAACATGGGATTGGTTATGGTGAGACGTTCAACCAGGTTATCGTGCAACAGCGGCCCTTACTCCTTGCCGCGGATGCACACGCGGAGGTTCAACAAGAGAAAGAACGAGCAAGGATATGCTGAGGCACATGAGGAGGCGGTGCTCGAGTAGGTTTAGAAGTTTTTTTGGGAACTAGTAGGTTTAGAAGTAGGCTCTAGAGTAGCGGACGAGCAATAGGTCGTGGCCTCATGGACCTCTTTTGGGCTGGACCAACCAACATATTATTTATATTTATATTTATTATTGATCTAGGGTCTTCAATGGCTATTTTTGCATGCGAATTGTAACTATTCTGAGACGGAGATAGCAAGTTCACGAACTAGATCTTCGATTTCCGTATCAGAGATGTATACCCCTACCTAACCCTATTCATAATATCATAGCAAATTCAAATCGCGAACTCGAATCGCGAACTGAACGAATGACGAATTAGGTAACTATGATTCTGTCACACCAACATGCTCAACTGCAACCCCATCAATACACCTATTGGCCAAGTAAAAAAATACACCTATGGACGCTCATTCTAAATCCTCCTTGATCGATGCCAAACTGGTTCCCGACCCCACCCTCTAGAATCTTGCCAGGTCTTACAAACACATCGCCTTAACATGCCATATAATTCTCATGTTGCCCAACAAGTTCTCGTATTCATGCATGATCGAGCGACTCACATCTACAACTGATTAAATACATACTACGGTACTTCAAGGGGGCTTCTCACCGTGTGCTTTGATTCTACACAGCAACATCACATGATCTTGTGGCATACATTGCTCAATCTGCCTCCTGCCCACGATGCCAAGACACCTGTGAGGATGCCCTTCACCTCATTTGCAACTGCTCCTATGCTGTCCAAGTGTGGTCTCTCTTGGGGCTACCTACACCAACCTCCCTCATTGCTCTACATCAACCCCCAGCAATTTCGGGCCTCAACCTCAACATCTGGCCATCGGTGGTCTTGACCATTGCTTGGAAGCTCTGGGACTCCAGGAATGCTTTGGTGTTCAGAAATGAGGACCACCCCTCCCGAGTAACACTAAGGAATATTGTTGCTAACTTTTCTCTCTGGGTTTTCCGTTTTAAAAAGACAGATGATAGACATTGTGCTACACAGTGGCTCCATTTCTTTCCTATGCAATTCCTACTAGGTGAAACTTGTTCATCCATGGTTCTCTTTTAATGCTCTGCTGCATCATTTGAGTGGTAATATATTCAGGTGGGGAAGCTCTCCCCCCCTGGTGACCGTTCAAAAAAAAACTTGGTGTCCTGGTCATCCAAACAACACACAATATCACGGTCGAGTGCAAAGGGAGAATACTATACCATTGCAAATTGCTCGACAGAATCATGCTGGGTCGGCTCCTTGATGAACTACATCACCCTCCTTCTCGCGCCACACTTGTTTATTCGACAGCATTAGTGTAAGGTATGTCTCTTCAAGTCCGGTACAACATCAACGTACCAAACATGTGGAAAATGATCTACACTTGGTTTATGACTATGTTACCCTTGGTGAAGCACGGGTTCTGCATGTTCCATTGAGCTCTCAATTTGCAGATGTTTTCACCAATCTCAAGTTTTCCAATTAGTTCGCGCCTGAACATCCTCTCCGGCTGCGTTCCAACATTAACATGAGTTTGTAACGTTGCATGTACATGTTATCGTATTCTTTAGATCTCCACCCGACGCATGGCCTGCGTGCCTTTTGTGTAGGTCATTTGGACTATACCCCCCCTCTCAGATATGTGTTGTACACTCTGTACTAATTCAACAATCAAGGAGATCAATTGATTTTAGTTGAAACAAAGGTGGGTTGCAAGGTTGTAAGATCACAAATTTTGAATCAGATTGGAACTCCTATGTAAGATCGCAAACTGCAGGTACGTAATATTTTCCACTCACTAGAAAGCGGTCCAACCAAGCAATTGGAGCTGTGACTCAGCATCATCCCAACAAGAAGTTTGATCCAATAAGTCCGATGTTAGAAATCAATCAATGGTGTACCCAGTCACCAAAAAGAGGTGCTTAGTCAAACGACAGACTTCTCACGTAGAAAATACATAGGCGATGTAGGAATAAATACTCTTAGGTTACGAAAACAATCTAGAAAAGTTGAAATATGAACACCGTGTAAATTTAGTGAGGCGCATGGGTGGACTTCCCCGATCTTGATGCCACTGACTCCTATGTAGTCAGTGTTTAAAACATTTATATAAGTTTGCATAAAAAAAGTTAGATGTATTTGCATGTTGAGTACGAGAGATGTAAAAAAGATAAGTCTTGTTTTGGTTGAATATGCTTAGCGAAATAGAATACTGAAGTTCCACAACAGCATTGATAAAAACTAGTCGCACAACCACCTTAACATCTCACACAACCATTGTTCACTCTTTTTAACAACAGGCAGCAAACTACAGAAGTAACAACTAACAACAACGCCTGGAGACATCTCACATACAGAAATGGGCACAACAAACCACAAGGCAAATTCAAGTTCACACAAACTAAAAGGTGTGTTTGGATGGGGGTATTTGTCTCAAGAGAGTTTTGGTACCCCTCGCCCAAACAATCCTAATCTCGAGACAAAGTGTGATCAGCACACTACAAAAGGAACGACGCCCACCAGATGAGTTGACAACATCCCCAGCCAGAACTGCTTATATAATATAAAGGAACAACTTCTCCCGAAATCCTGCAAAGATGGCTGCTGAATAAGTACAGTGCCAATCAATATAGCAACATATAGAGAAAAGTGTCTGTTACCTATTAGGTCTGAAATTTATTTTCTTTTCAATATCTGTAGCCAAGCTCAGAAAGTGTGTTGAACATCTTCAGACAATGAGGGTGACGGCGATTGACATTTTGAAGGGAAAGGATAGCAGTGGCCAATCGATCCCGAAGAGGAACCTGGACACAGCAAGGAACTCTTAGCATATCTGTTTCTGAGCTAGAAAATATACTATGAAAACAAATCATGGCCGAGGCAGATTACCTTGCAGGTTGTAAGGGCTCTAGAGATGACATAATTAGCAAACTCATCAGACACTAAATCTCTGAAGGGATGATACCGAATCAATTCATGAACAATGTTAGATCGATCTCTGTCATTAAAAACTTCTAGGCACGTTTCAACCACATTGCTGCTATATCTTTGTCTTGAGAGTGTCACATAATTAGACCTGAAGCGGGATGCGATAATTGCCAAGTACGATGGGTTTCTTTGTTTCAGGACGTACTGAACAATGTAGTTTCTGGAAGAAAAAATGAAAGAGAAACGGTAAGCCTTTCAGGGCACAAAGTTGTGATTCATAGATCAACAGATCGAAAAATTACTTATGGTGGTACTTGGTAGTA